GGATGGAACAATGAGACAACAGAGATTGTGAAAGACCGGATGGATGAAGGAAAAAAGTGGATTAATGGGAGGTTTTCTAAACTGCAGGGATTGACTAATTACCTAACAAAATGACTAACTGGTGCATTTTCTAACAAATAAATAAGACTATTTATTTATGATCACTACACAAAAAAATCACTTACGTATGGCTTTATTCATCAACAAGAAAAGGTTACAACTGCTGTTTGTCAGATGTGTTTGAAGCTATCCAAAATTGTATTTGTTCCAGGTTTGATACGTATTTATGGAAATCTGACTCCCAGGTGGTCTTAAGTCTTTTCCTTCTTTCTGTTGTAAGATTGTTTTTGAAAAAGGCTCAAAACTCCTTATTTTGACCTGTAAAACTATATGTCATCTCAACAACAAAGTGTTAATTTCAATTTAAGAGTTGCATGAACTTTTGTAACTTTGGGACTTGGTAGCAGGAGTATTACAATTGTGCCTTGAAATGTTAAAAGAAGCATATGTGTTTTATCACACCAACACTTATAGAATTGCAAAAACACTATTTCAAATTCTTCACACTAAACCCATTTATAGTTGTTTTTCTTTTCCCCTCAGATGAAGGACATTGTTTAAGGCTATATGTCCACCATTCTGCTCACTCCGCTGGGACCATTTACTACCACACACTGTTCTGGCAGGTCCTCTGGCTCTCCTCTCAGCTGACAGGGCCTGGCAGCACCTGTCTGACCCAATTACTGCTGAAGGGGTCTGACCTACTAAGCTGGGTTAAATGGCTGCTGTCTGAACACTCTCTGACCTCTGTCACAACATCTGCCACATGAAAACGATCTGTGATGCATCAGCCATCAAATCATACAATTCCCGATAAAGACCAATAAGTACTTGCTTTTTGACTTTTTATTTAATTTTCAAGCAGCGCCAAATTGCCTGATTTACTTAGTTTTTGAAGAACACCTTACTTTTTCACATTAAATAAATAACATAAATAAATAACTACACTTGGGAGCTGCATAGTACAAACTCAGACACTGGAGTCCATAATGTAGAAGAACATAATCTTTAATTCACTTTCCTCTGCCTGAATGCAAACTCTTGACCTGTTCCTCACCTGGAGTGGTGTTCTATCACCAAATGCATGCAACTTGTCAGGACCTGTGTTGGACCTTTAAGCATTTTAAAGGAAATCAAAGACCCATTAACGGTGTCCTGACACCGAACGACTTGTAGTGATCTTTTTAGTGAACTCTGACCTGGGTAGCTCTCAAACTTCCGAGTGTCCGTGGCTCCATCTCCAAGACAAACGGTACAATCACTGCTCTCACTATTATAAACATTTAGGAGATCAATGATCGCAGAGTGATCATGAAGTGATCATTTCTTTCTTGACAGATTTTAAAAGCCTTCACTGTAGACATGGCTGAGTGACAGGGTGTGGAAAAAAAAAGATTGAATGAAATCAGATAAAGAAATAAACTACAAAACGGATGTCTAACAATGAAAACAAACACACAGGGATCATGACAAGTGTCTCCTCTCAGCTGGCTTGACATCTATATCTCTTTCTATATCGACAACTTGCTTAACTAAAAGCTCTTCTGGCGGGGTGGAAGTGACTGATTGTCCACACAGAAGGAGAGAGGAAGTAAGAAGGGGGCTGTCGAAGGAAGGAAAAATACTGAGGAAAAATTATGGTGCAAACAATCAGAAAAGAGGCAGGAATGAAAGTAAAACAGGCAAGAAAAAATGAGGTGGACTACAGGTTATTACAAAAGTTCCCAGATGATTGGCAAAACTTAAATTGCACAAGTTGACTCATACATTTAAACACATGGCATAAATGTACAGTTTTAATGCTGAAAAAACAGAAAATGCATGTAATACATGTTGCATTAGTAAGCTTTGTAGTGTCAACCTTTAACATACTCATTTTGGCACATTAGTGGACAATTATACTTTAAGATAGATTAAAAAATTGTGGTTTTGATTAGGAGAAAATCATTTTTTATGAGTATTACAATTTTCTTAATAGAAAATATAAAGCTGTCAGCTAAATTTCCCTCAGATAGATGACTAGATTAATAAAAAATAGTTGTGTGCTATGAGGTGCAACATTTATTCTCCTAACTGGATTTTTATTTTTGGATTTAAACATTTACTAAATGTTGGCATGACATGTTAATTGTGAGGTTGGTTTGTTCCTAATAAAGAGAACGGTGTCAGCATCAGAGAATAAATTAATTTATTAAAAAGAAAATATTTGGTTGTTCTTTGTTCAGTGATCAGTACAGTACATGCCTCATTTCATCACATTTATTAATTGGCTGAGACATAGGTGGATGTCTACACAGCCATACGTGCATGAGTACGCAAGTGCTCTCCACTGACATGCACATTATGCATATTTACTCCCCAGAAAAGAAAAAAAATAACAGGTCAACAGATAAGTATAACAGTTCTCACAATAAATCAGGTGCAATTCTCTTATCAGCTGTAAATTATATAAATCACATGCATTCTTAAGCCTCTGGTTTTATTAGGCTCAAAACCTCTTCCTCCCTCCACCTCATCAACACCTCTTCGTTCAGCACTGATCCCTCTCAGCCAGATCTACGGCGCCTGTGTCTGTCTTCTTTTTGCGGGAGGCCTGGGAACAGGCACTGCCGGGGGCGATACACATCCCTCAGGTGGGCTTTTCATTATAGATGATTCTTCTGCCAAATTATTTAGACCCTGAGACCGAGAAGCACCCGTGCCCCATGGAAAAAAATGTCGACAAAACAACATGCATACACACAAACATACACATTCCGAAATCCCTCTGCAATGCTCCTCCCATTCTTTTCACGTTCTTTACAAATTCCACTGACAAAGACATTTATTCTGCCTGATCACATGAATGTGTATCTGCTACTCATTAGTCTGCTGATTTTTTCTCATGTTTCTGTTTGGGTGTAATAAAGAAGTGAAGACTTGACCCTTGTGAATCGCACACATTTACAGGAAGGAACTGAAGGCAGAGGATGAGAAAAATATTTATCATGTGTATCCTACTGTTGCTTTGAGTGCCACAGAGGGGCAGGCTGAGTGAAGCCATCTTCGCATCGTATCAGTTAGATAGGCTGACACAAAAACATAACTAATTGGACTGTATGTGTGCTTACCTCAGTGGACATGTTTTGTAAACTAGGTAGGAAAGTCAGAAATGACATTCTCTTGGCAATGACTGACCTCGGCTGAGGAAGGAGATAGCTTTGGGATGAGGACACACACACATTCACTTCTCAACATTGTAAGCTCTCTTTATGTATCCTAACTCATTAGGTTACTTATCCCTGCATTTATTGTTTTTCCAAATCCCCTGCTAACTCCCTCCTCATGGCTTGAACATGTTCCCACCTGTACACTGTAAATAATTTCAGACAACCAAGTCATTTACTTTCTTCTATTTCATTGTCCTTCTGCTTTTCAAACCTTTGTTCTGTCATTTACCCCAGCAACTTTAAATTTTTTTTAAAACTCTAAATTTCAATCTAAGTGAATAAAACTCACTAAGAATCTGCTGTAAGACATCTCTTTTTTAATAAAATCTTTACTATTGTCTTTTATCATCATATATACATTTAATTGTGTCTTCTCAAGTTCTTAGTTTTCGGGGGGGGGGGGGGGGGGGTGCTTAATTTTTAGACATACATCCCATTTGGGGGCAGCTGTGGCTAAGTGGTTAGAGCAGTCGTTTTCCAATGGAAGAGTTGGGGGTACGATTCCACCAGCAGTCACATGCTGAAGTGTCCCTGGGCAAAACGCCAAACCCTCATTGCCTCTGATGTGTGTCCCATTGGTGTATGAATGTGATAAAGCACTGATTATTCTTTGTAGAGATGTAGTAGAGTGCTGTATAAAAGGGTAAATGAGAGCACAGATTGTAGTATAAAGTGCTTTGAGTATCTTGATAAGATAGAAAGGTGCTATATAAGTACAGTTCATTTACAGTCAGTCGTAGACTGAGACCACCGAGGTGCTTCACAGAATGCCACAGGAAGTTCTTCCTCCCTGTGGCTATCAAACTTTGCAACTCCTCCCCCTTTCTAGACATAGGACAATAAAAGTAATCCTGCACCACAATAAACTCTTTAATGGTTCTGTCTGCACCTGACATGTTTTACACCATAATTGTTAGTATTTTTTATATTCTCTGTGATTTTTTTTTTTAATTCTCTATTATTTTTTATATGATGTGTGATTCTTTGTGTCTGTTCCTTTGTTCTGAAACTCTGGCACAATAATTTTCTGTGCTTATTTTCTTATCTTATCTTACCATTTCATTGTGAGTCATAGTTTCTAACATTGTTGGTTCAAAAGTAGATGTTTATTGAATTTCTGTTGCAAAAGTTTATTCTCATAAAAACAACAATCATACAAAAAAATAAAAAAAATGTGTCAATATTCATTTTTCATGGGAATTTCATATTGGCCTACTCTCAATTATATTTTTAGATCGAAAAAGTTGAAGATACAGAAAAAAAATGTAACGAGTTATTTGTTGTGTTGGCAGTGAATATTTATTACAATAAGAGCAGTACTGCATATGATTACTGTCTCAGACAAAATATGAACATAAATTTATTCCGTATGCACATTTATATTCATTCTTTATAAAGTTAACCAGAAACATAAACTGAAGCTTATTAAGATTTTTGCGTGATAATTTATTGATATTGAGCAGACGTTCTAAGTCATTTGTTTGTGTTTAGTTTCTTCCAGATCTCTGGTCCCTGTCTTCCTCCTTTCCTCACCACCATCCCCCAAGCCTTTCATTGTCTCTTCTGTAAGCTCCCTCTTTCACACACAAAAAAATCTATAACACCTAGGAAGATTTATAGCAATTCATTCTTTCAAAGTGTAAAAGCTAATACAAGAAAACTTTGACAGAACAGTCCTACTGCAGGTGCAGAAATCCAGCATTCAGCTAGCAAAACACTGCAGAAACTCACCCAGGCTGAAAAGGACCAAGAACTTGAGGCAGACAAACTCCCGTTGGTCCAGTTGCAGAGAGCGTAGTTTGGCTACCAGCTCCTGGGCATGGCTTAACAGATTGTTAAGAGTGGCTCCTGCCTGTGAAGCAATCACCGCATAGTCAACCTAAAAAAGAGAGAAATAGAGACGTTCAGTAACACACAAGGTTTGATAAAGTAAGTACTACTACAATGCATCATACTGACAGTGAACATCGATTTATTGATTCAAAATGCTTATACTAGCAATAAAGAAGTTCAGTATCATATTAAATGCCACAAACTCTGTTCTTTTTTTTCAAGTTTAACTCTTTTTCTGGCAAGTCTTTTGAAATTTTGTAAGTAGAATAGATTGGTTTACTTGGAAAGTTTACATATTAGACTAGTCAGATTTCTCTGAGAAATAGAGAAAAAATAAAAACAAGATGATGAAAACCTAACATTATGGTTAGATCTAGTTTTTTAGGTCTCTTTCATTCATTTAAATGTGCATAAACATATTCATTTTTCTTCAGGTGCACTTCAGATCTGCAGCTGCAGCACTTTTGTCTGGGAGGCAAGTCCTTAGCTGCCACTCAGGGTAAGCAGGACCATATTAAATTTTTATATTTATTGACGATTCATTATCATAATTGACTGAGCAGGGGTTTTCAGGGGAAGGTAGATGTTGGCGTGTGCAGTTCCTAAAGCTCAAAGAGGAAGAGTCCCTGTGAGCTCACATTTGCAATTAAAACCAGCCCCGGGGTGTGGAGTTTATTTATTCTGTAAATAGGATGATTGGTATCCTTTTTTAATATCCCCGTCTTTTTTATCTGTTAGAAAGGGTCAAAGCAAATGTTGACACTAGGTTTGCATTTTTGTTTTTCTTTAACTCCTTTTTGCTTTAACTCCACTGCTCTTTGTCCCATGCCTTTGTCCCTCCTGCCTCTATTCTCACCACCTACCAGACATAAAGAGTTATGGTGGTGAACAGCAGAGACTGCCTGCCCCCTTCCAAGGTGTCAATCAATTTACATAAAATCAACTGTGCATGAAATAAGTTCATTGAAGGATTGGACTGTTGATGGTGATGCCTTGGGTTATTACCCCCTTGCCTTAAGTAAAAAGAAAGAAGAAAAAACGCTATAATGTCACTACAGCCGACTTAGCACTAACTCTGAATGTGTATCAATCAATCAGTCAATCAATCAATATCACTTCATTCTGCCTTCTGGATGAAAAGATATTGAAGGTAAATATGTGAATAAACCTTCATAATTTCACTTAATGCAAATATGATGAACAATCCCAGCTGAAAAAGTGAACATGAAGGGCAAGCTGAGAGCTCTGATGTGTTGAAGATGCAACTGAAAAAAATGGACCTTCCTTTAGAACATAAAGTATGTGACTGACAGAAAAAAAAAAATCTTTTTATTTTTTTTATTTTTATCATTTGAATTTGATTTAGCCCACACTAGGAGCATTGTGCCATCAGAATATCGAGATATATAATAAAACTGACAGCCAAGCTTCAAGGCCTTGCCTAATCATTCAAGAGATCATCGCAGTCTTTGTCATTTGATGTTTGTGCACATTTGTGCACGTTACACTGTGTGTTTGATCCTACGACAGGATAAAGAACAAGCACTCATGGCCATTTCTCTCTGATGTTGGTGACACAACAACATACGGCAGTATGAAGAAGGGAAGAAAAAGAGAAAAGATGGGAATTAGCATGCAGGGAATGACGTACGTGAGGACAAGAGAAAGAGCAAAGCAGAAAGCAAATGACAGGCTGTAGCAGTTCATTTGCTGCTTCAAGTGATTTTTTTCAAACGTCGGTTTGAGTGCAGTGTATGACTGAGAAATGCAAAAAGGCAGCCTGTTTTAAATCCAAAAAGCACATTAAAAACACCTTCTGGTTCAACTCTATGTAATAAAAACCCCAACACAAACTTTGCATATACATTTTGAATATAATACTTGTATTGACAAACCTTATTATAGTTCAATATAAATCAGAGTCCCATTTGAATGACAAAATTACAATATTGGGCTTTATATTATAAAATAACTATGAAGTACTAAATAATTAATAATGTAATAAGTAAGTGAGTAATAAATAATGTTTGATTTTAAAGGCAGCTTTTTCTCATGGTGATATCTTATCAGTACTTATACTACAAGAAGAAGCCACGTGAACATGAATAAGCCATACAATTATGTCCAGTGGGCTCATATTGAGAGGTCCTTTTGAGTCCTTTTGTTGCCAAACCAGTTCTGGCCTAATGGTGCATAACATCTGACACCTCTGAAAGTCTTCTGTGGTATATGGTATTGGTACTTAAAGGGTGATGCTTTAAAAGCGCTGTAGGTATAAAAGGCTGACATGCTCTTTTAATTATTAAAGTTGTTTTGTTTCCCCCAAATACAGAGATTAAGGTAGAATTCTCATCTAAAGGATTTGGTGACCAAATCCACACCTTAAATTCTTTGTTGCACTCTTCAAACCATTTTCAAACAACTTTTAGTGAGAGGAGCTAGGTGTCTTGTGTTAATATGTTTCCTGCCTTCCTCAGTGTTCTTCCACCATGTAATCAGCTCCAGCTCCTGCCTCTGTCACCTGTTCCTCATTGTCCTTCCTCAGGTGTTTGTGATTGTCTATCTATCTATCTATCTATCTATCTATCTATCTATCTATCTATCT